CAATAACAATAACAATAACAATAATAATAATAATAATAATAATAATAATAATAATAATAATAATAATAATAATAATAATATATTTGCAAGGGTATTTTTATAAATATGAAAAAATTAATTGACATAAGATTTATCATAGAATCCAAAATAAATGAATTCCATTTAACAAATTTATTATTACCCGAAGATCGCCATCATCATCATCATCATCATCATCATCGTCATCATTATATTAATATTAATATATATATTAAATTAAATACCAGAACTAATCATTGTTTCATGTGGTAGATCAGGCTCTCCGGATAATTGTTATTGAAGTAGGAAGATCTAATTATAATAGTAATTTAAAACTGTATTTCCTTTATGGAAAAGATATCTGTGATGTTACGCGAAATTTTCTGAAAATTGAGTTATTATTATTGTATATATGAAAATATCTGGGGCTTAGTAGATCCGTAACACACGATATTCTTGGTATTAAAAACTTCACTATTAATATATATATAAGAAAAGATTTTCTTTTATGAATCAGCCGGTACTAATATAATTGTATTCATTACAATTATAACGTTAATTATTATATATAGGAATAAAAATAAACAAATGATTACCCCTATATCTACTTCTCATGTAAAAAATCAATGAATTTTATTATATTTAATAAATCGTGATAGTAATAGTAGGGTTTTAATAATAATATATAATAATAATAATAGAATTCATTTTTCCTTGGCGTCTTTTATCCTTTTGTTTCAATATAATCAATTTCATTCTTAATTTTTACATCATGCCAGTCAGGTAGATATTTAAAACACTTGTATGTAAATTTTGAATTGAAGTTTTAGTTTTCTTTGTTGAGACAAGGATTATCTATATTTAATTATATTATTATATATATATTTGTTTTTTTTTTTTTGCATTCAATAATAAATTGCATTTTCCATCAACTCAACAAATAAAGATATCTGTGGGTTTTTATTATAAAGGCAGTTAAATGTGGTGCCATTTTTGTTATTGGCATTGGCTTCAATAACTGTGAAATTATTTGTTTCTTTGGTGCTAACGATTGAATCAATCACACAAACAGTACTGTAGTAAATTTAAATGGTATTGTTTTCAAAGAATTTATTTGAAATAATATTATCAATTATATTTTTATATACTTTAAAAATTTTCTTTATTTCTTTTTTTGATAAAAATAAATTTAATCATTCGTTTATAATTCGAATAGATTTTATTCACAATCGCAACCGCGGAAAAATTTTTTGCCATAACTATTATAGTTTGGTAAAATATGTAAAAACGGAGGCATCGTCATAAAAAATTTTAAGAATAGAACTGACGTGATAAAATCATGTTTACTGTTTCAGGATTTTTTTCAGGTGTGCACAAAATTTTTATGGTAATTCTCTAGAATATCGCATTTTTTATTTGTCGTTATCAAAAAAATAACACTGGCGAAAAATCTTTCGGTCCCACTCCATCATATTAATAATTATTTCACCATTTCGTTGACCCAAATCCTTCCAATATTCTTCCATTTCCCAAAATAATGATTGATTGATCTTGACACTTTGTTTGGCAAAACTTGGCGCCGAGATGGCATTTGAGAAAATTTTTCGATTATAATTCCATTTATTGTAATCACCATTGAATAATATACCTTTAGAAGTCATGTCCAACACATCTAATCCTTTGTTTGGAGTTGTACGATGATTATAATTACCAAATGAAGGTTTAAAAACTTTCTCAAGATATTCAGCAAATAACTTTTTCCCTACCAAGCCACACTTCACCAATATCACCACCATATTTCAAATTACCAATTGATGGTAGTGGTAAAGGACCTGTTAATTTATTTGAGCGTTTAAAATATTTCACATAAAAATTTATCACATAACCAATGGCAAATAATAAACTTGATAAAATTAAGTTTTGGAATGAAAAAGTCGACATAACTCGAATTTAGTATATGTATATATTTTTCTTGATGGGTTTTTAAGGATAATAGAAAGAAAGTTATCTTCACCTCTACAATATATATATGTGTATATTTATTTATTTATTTATTAATGTTCTCATTGATTTTCTTTCTTTGTTTAGTTCTTTGGTATAAAAATACAGCAAGAACAGCAAAACTGCGTATAATAATAATAAACAAGGTAATTGCTTTCTTTTGTCATGGTGATAGTGGTTATAATTATAAACAAGAGTTTTCTTGGATTATTTTTTAAACAAAATAATTATAGCCATACCTCCATATAAGAATATCATGTAAATCTCTTTATATTTTGGAACAAATTACTATTAAGCTTTTAAAAAAATGTTTCATCCAAGAACAACCTCCCTATAAGGAAATTTTTAGTAAAAATAAAAAAAAAAAAAGAGATTACTGATAAGAAGAATGACAATTGTTATAATATTAAAAAAGAGATCTGATCATTAATACTAATCTAATAATCCTAATATTAATTAATTTTAATATCAATATTAATATTAGTTAATTACTTGTCGCATATTACATTTAAGTATGTCAATTTCCATATGTCAATCTTGAACTCGCAAAGGTATACGAAAAAAAGAAAAGACCAATTAAATACTTTTTGATTGTCAATGAAGGACCAACAACAGCAAATGATCTTTGTTTGAAGATATTTCTGTATCAGACCACTGAATACTTTATGAATTCGAAAACTTTGAGAAAGTTGATGAAATTTCCAATAACAATAGCAAATATTTTCAACCGAAATCAAAATCATTTTGTGCAATTGACTGACCCACTCATTTCTCCAAGTTAACTTTTCCAAATGACCATTAGCCAAAATCATGGAATATATGGCTTGGGAAGCATTATCAAGGCTTTATTACTAATTACAAGAAAAATAAATTTATACTTTTGTTTTTGTCCCATGTTGATTTCAAAATGCAGTCATATTTTACCAAAAAAGGTACAGATGCATTATCGACCTAGTTATGCGGTATATGCTTGGAATCAAACTTAACTTGAGCATTTTTATAATTTTATATTGTAAATCAGAATTTACTAAATTTCAATAAATATATTTTTTGACAGGTCAAAGATTTTGGTCTTTTATTGTACAACAATCAAGCTACTGATATAACAAAAAAAAAAAAAGGATACATTCATTATTAATATCTAGCAAAGTTATCATCATTTTTTAATTATGATAGTATTTATTATATTGTGATCATGTTCAATGATAGAAGTGTGAAGAGTCCACGCTCATAAATATAATAATAATGAAAAGTAGTACACGGGATAGATATTGTGTAAAAGATCATGGAATTTTTTTATCCTTTTAATAAATATTTGCGATATAATATTTATATGTAGTTGAGAGCCAATGGCAGACTTTTTGTTTCTAGTTTTTCAAGACTTATTAAGGTCCTTGTCGTTATACATATCCTTAAATATTTTTCTTTGGGCTTTAGGATCTCAAACTAAGATTTTTTTTTTTAATAGTTGCACGAAAGGAACTCAATGCAAAAAAACTTGCCTTGGGTTGAAAAATCGAAACCAATAAAGTCGATAAAGGAAAATCTAAAATGAAAGTTGAGATAGAATTCTCAACTTACTCCTCGTGCTCTGACAGAACAACAATTAAAAAAGGAAAACAATTGGGCATATTTACTATGATTTAGATGATAAAATTATCAATGGCAAAAACTTGAGCGAGAAACTCTCTTAAATATTTTATGCTGTGCGACAACTCCCGGTTGACCTCGTTGTCATAGTGGCCAGGGCATCATCAGCTAGTTAACATTATTCGATTTGGATTTGGATTTGGATTTGGATTTGTTTGTTAATAATGATAACAACAAATGAAATTAAAGTCATATTTATTTTAAATTAATTAATTAATTTTAAGATTTTGAAAAAGTAATCGATCGAGAAATATTTCCAGGTCACAAAGATACCAAAAAAATTTTATTCTTGCTTCCCGGTTATTAAATTATCGTTATCATCGATTAGAAGAGAAGAGAGATGCAAATAAAAGGAAAGCAATTAATTCAGGTTATTCATTAAATTTATTTGTAATACATTACAAACTTTTTATAATTAATAGTAATTATTTTTCTACAGAAATTATCATACATATCTGGAATATGCGAGGCTCTAACGAGAAAATGGGAACGCGATTCCAAAGTCAAAATCAAAATTAGTTAAAACCATACGTGAAAGTAGAAATAGATTTGACACTTTGTATCAAATTCAGATTGTGATTTTGGGAATCAAATGTTCATGGATATCTAGGCATAAGTTAACAATATAAATCATGGCGCATATAAATGACTGATTATATTTATTTATTTGAATAATTTAACAATTTTAACTTGATTCCATAAAATTGCTATAAATTAAAATTTTAAATTAATTAATTATTGAATAATAACAATAACAAATAACAATAATAACAACAATGATAATTAATACGACTTACCAACATCTTTTGGAGTTCTCCCATGCTTATCTTTAATATTAACATTTGCTTTGCAATTATATATTAAATAATCAACTATATCAATATAGCTTTCTTTGCATGCATAATGAAGACAAGTCCAATTATCCCAATCATCCACCACATTCACATCAATTCCACATTCAATCAACAATTTCAAAACTTCCAAATTACCAACCATTGTAGCATAATGAATTGCTTGTCTACCAATTTTATCTTTATGATAAAGAAATTTATATTTTTCTTTTCCTTTTTTAGATTTATCATCAACATCATAATTATATTCTTCATAAATTAATTTTTTAATTAAATTTACATCGCCTGAGATTATCGAACTTTGTAATAGATTGACTCCACTGTTGTCGGTAATTTTTAATAATTGTTTTTTTATTTCTGGGTTAACTGCTGATAGCAAATAGAAAACAATCGATGATGATGAAGATGATAATGATGATGCAGCAGTATGTATTGGATATATTCCTGATTTGCTTGGAATCATTAATGTATCGGGTGAAATCTGATAAAGATACTTTACAACTTCTAGATGTGTTTCTTTTATTGCTAGATGCAAACTAGTCCATCCATCTTTATTTAAATGTTTTACATTTGCTTCATGACTAACAAGTTCTTTTACAATATCTAATCTACCTTTCATCGCTTTATTATTAATTAATTATTAATTATTAAATGTTTTTGGAAGAGGATGAGAAATAGGAGAATAAAGAATTTATAATGTTTACACGCCTGCAATCATCAATGGAGTCCAATCACCTCTTTTCATGCAATCAACATTTACATTTTTTTGTTGACAAATAAATCTGACACATTCTAAATTATCAATTGCTTCATGTAGTGGTTGTCTGCCTAAAATCAATCGACTGATTATTTAATTTATTTTAAAATCAAAACGTGTTTATTATTGATATAATACCATGTTTATTAATTACATTACAATTTCCATTCAACTCTTCAACCAAATATTTCAATACTTCAAATTGGTGAAATCTTGCAGCGATATGTACAAGTGTATCACCATGCTTGTCAGGTTTATTTATTATTAATAATAACTCTTCTAATGAAATTAACGAAAAATGAGTTTTTAATGACGAAATCGAACCTTTTTGTACTAATTTTTGTAAATTTGGCATTTTTTTATATATATATTTTAAATGATAATGGTGATAAACATCAATCACATTGATTTTCAATTTGGATTCATAATATTAATATATTAAACTTGTAAAGATAATACCAATATCAATCATGTGATTTATGATTATGGTAATGAAATAAAATACTATGGCACGCCACGTTATAAATATTCATAACAGCATAGTGGAAATTTGAAATGTCACACTAATTTTTTATATTGTGCAACGTAGCTTTACAATACACGGCAAACA